CTAAGGTTAATGGGCAGTGTTCGTATTCCATCAACTCTTTATCCCTGGAACAAGTAGTTACCCACAAGCATCTGGGGGTAACATTCTCATCTGATCTATCTTGGAAACATCATGTCCTTGCAATAGCTACTAAAGCCAACAGGATCTTGGGTCTCCTTAAACGCACATTTGGCAGGTGCTCTGAAGCAATAATAATTGGATACAAAACAATGGTTCGTCCTATCATCGAATACGCATGTCCTGTTTAGAATCCACATCAAGTCTACTTGTCAAACAAACTTGAAAGAATCCACACAAATGTCTCACGCTGGATCCTTGGTGGACCTATTGATTATACCGAACGTCTGCAATACCTTGGTTGGATGGAACTTAAGTCCCGTAGGGAATATCTATCGATAATTCAATTATTTAAGTTTATTAATGGTTTCTCGAGAGTTAAGCTTGACAATTTTTTATCTTTCTCTCGTGCTAGCACTAGATCAAGAAATAGTAGGAAGATTTGGAAACCTTTTTCAAGAACTAATATTTTAAAATTCTCTTTCTGGCATAGATATATAGATAAATGGAACTCGTTACCAGATTCTCTAATATGTGACGATTCATTGACAAAATTTAAAAAGGGCTTAAGAGAACACTTTTTAACTAGTACGTAATGAACATAAAATTGTTGCGATTGCATATCTAATTTGATAATTAGATAATTTTAATAACTCCATTATTAATAGATATATTTTAGTGATATCTTTTACATTTCTTCTTACATTATAATAGTCTTTATCTGACTTATATTTCCTTAATAGCTTTGTAGATATTTTTAGGGGGTCATCTTACATGAGGATTCAGTTCCTCCCTGATGGCAGCCTTTTTGTATTGATTATTACAAATAAAGTTGTTATAAATAAATAAATAAAATAGATAAAGAGCGTCCAAACATCAACTTGTCGGCAAAAAGAAGCTCTTTACATCTGAGTTCAAATTTTGCACTAACCTTCCTCGCCTGGGTTATCTTAACCCAGCTTTGAACAAAAAGCAAACAGTTGACAAAGTTTTAGTTGTAGTCATTAATTTTATTTAATATCTTGAATTCCTCATGTACACAATTACTAAAATTTACCGTAAAATGCCGGAAACCGTTACTGGCAAGTCTTGTGATGATATTAAAGAAAGACCCAAGACCACATTTTTGTGGTGAATGCCGGAGCACCATGATTGTGTTTGAACACTGGTTCACTTACACTACACCTCTCAATTTCACACGTTTCAAGGGAATCATCAAAGCCTTCAATGGAATGTATGTGCGGCTCACGTCAATAACCAGGGGCACCCAACGTCAATTTTCGGAAAATATCTGTTCGGAAGACGATTTGACCTCTCCTAGGATTTTCGAGCATCTTAAAAATGGCATAACTGCCCATTTTTTAACGGAATTTTACCCTAAAAAGGTCACCTAGAGTTTTCGGGAGCCTTTTTTGGCTGAAATTTTCGAAAAGGTAAGTTTTGATCCCTATAATTTTCGGATCACTAGACTTACAGCTAGGAAATCCGAACAGATGAAAAATTTTTAGGGGATAAAAATATGCCCATATCTACCATTTAAATACTAAAATACGTTTAACAATGCCATGTTTAAGTGGTTTTGAACTATATTCTCGTTGGGTGCTCCTCAATAACGTTTCCAGCAATTTGGTCGAGTGTATTGATTTCAGTGGCTTGAGTGGCGCTACTTTGGGCTGGTCAAAGTTCCGAATAAATAACGTAGAGCTAAAATGTTCGTTTGTTCAGAGCCGAAAATATCACCAGTCATGATGAAATGGTGCCGCCGAGCTTCACATCTCGGTAGATTTCCTTTGTGGAATAACGGCAGCCGCCGAGCTACATGAACTCGGTAGATTTACTCTGGCGCACTTCGGCCGCCTAGCTACACAACTCAGCAAATTTACTTTGTGGCGCAACAAACGCTGAGCTTCACGACTCGCCCGTAAATTTACTTTGTAGCACAACGGACGCCGAGCTAGCCAACCTAGCTTGATGCATGCACCAGGAGTAGCACGCATTTCCAAACAAAAATATGAAGGCTTTATCCTAAGTAAAATTTTACTCAGGGTGTAAACTTTCAGTACACATTTGAAAGATGAACGCTTTGGAAGATTCATTAAACACAGATCGATAGTAGACTTTCAGCAAAGTCTTAAATATGTACACTTTACGAAGATTCAGCACACTTTTAAAAGATAAACGATTTACGAAGACAGAATAGCAGACCTCAGCAAACGTTTGAAAGATGAACGCCGAGAACACTCGAATCACCACGAGAGTTGGCGCGTCAAAGTGAGGCAAAACGTAAGCAAGTGCCTCAAAGCGAGGCAAATGTGTGTTAACGACGACGACGAATGCAATCTCGAAAAAACCTCCCTTATTAATTGCACAGGACACCCAAAACAAATTAGGGGTTGCGTTCTCGTACCTCGAACGCAAAAAACAAACATCAAATACCATAATTGCTCAGGCTTACCATCGCGATACAGCTGCTGAAAGCTATAAAGTAAGACCAGAATCGCTTGAGACTTTTAAACCCTCTTACGCATCAAGCAAAGTGAAAAACGAAAACGAGGACTCTTGATAGCATTTGTTTTTCATTTTGTACATCCAGTGGAAAAAGACAGTTAAAAAAATGACAAGTTGACACAAAACTCTGCCAGTTTCAGCTGTCAAAGTAAACAAGTTTCAAGACAATGCATAATAGTTTTCCGCAAGCATAAAAATTGGACGTAGAGCGTGACCAATACGGGGGGCCATAGTGACATAACCACAACATATTTCATATGAATTTTTAAAAAAATAAACTTGAGCCTGCGACCCTTTGAAAACTAGTCACTTGTCAGCGGATAACTTCAAAAAATACTCGACCTCAGTGGGTCGACACTTGAGCATGCGATATGACCAGGTGATACCGGTTAGCGGAAGCCCTGTTTTGACAGCTGTCAATTGATCACAACATTGATGTGCAATCAGTTTTTTTCCTGGGCTCCTAAACTAGCTAGAAAGTGTGAGTAAACATTGGTTTGCCTGTGGTGCGGACGGACGGTCCTTCGTTCGGTTGGTGTACGGTCACGTGATTACCGAATTTTCTGGGATGGGTAGATTTACTTACCCATGGTGCTCCGCTGGCGCGCGTTTCGCGAGTGCGAGAGCTCCGCTAAAAATTAGCAGAAGGACTTGAGCCACTCAGAAACGGTTAGATACTTAAATGGATAGTTTTTTTCTTGATTGATATTTCCGAAATCTTGCTCTTACATTAAGGCACCGTTCTGGTAAGGTTATAAAAATTTTAATCATACTATCTTTTATGCTTATCGTCTTTAAAGGTTGCGCTTTAAAGTAACTGATATTTGGCCCAGACGTTGTGAAGGAGCATTAGCATATTCAGACTAATAAGTCGTCTTACAAGATACAATAAATTGTCGAATATTTGTCGGGTAAGCCAAATAACGGTCAAATTAGTTTCATCAATTAAAACACTTGCATCATGATTAAAAAATTTTAATCACTGACTTTTTATGCTAATCATCTCTCTCTTGGATATTTGGTCCATACGTTGAAAGGTCGGTAGCAGGTCGTCTCAAAAGATAGAACAAATTGTTGAATATTATTTTGTTAGGCTAAGCCAACATTACGGTTGAATTAGTTTCATCAATTAATTTCACCTGCATCCACAGAACATATACAGCGTGTATTAAAAGGCGGCGAGATAAGTATTTTCTTGATCCACAAACGCAGTACAGTGTATTTAAGGCAACGACATAAATATCTTCAGTTTTTCCTACATCGAGATACTTCAAGTCCTGGCAACATATTACTTCTTGTTCAAGAAGCAAAAAATTATTGTTTCATGTAAATTTAAAAATGAGGAACGTATCACCTGGCACGAGCGCAAATCGAGTAATAAGTCTTCCCCATACACGCTGTATTCTGTATTTGCTCTGCCTTGCTGTCCCTCATTTTAGCCAACTGTCTGTAAAGCTGACGTCATTTTTGAGGATATCGGAAAATATCTTTCAAATTTGCTCAAAGTCAGTTGTTTATGAAAATTTATAAGGAAGATTTGAGCCAATTAGAAACGGATATATATGGGAATGAATAACTATCAGAAATATCTGTCCTAGTATTTCCAAGTTCTTACTCTTGCATAAAGGGACAGTTCTAGTTTCGTTGTATACATTTTAATCATTTACTTTTTTATGCAAGTCATCTGCAAAAATGCCCTCTGTAATTGATATTTGGCCGATACGTTGAGAAGGCGTATTAACAAATTTAGTCCAGCAAGTCGTCCCAAAAAATGAAATAAATTGCCGAGTATTCGTTAGGCTAAAAAGCCAAAATGACCGTTAAATTGCTTTCATCGATTAACTTCATCTGCATCCGCAGAACGCATACAGTGTGTATATTAAAAGGAGACGAGATACGTATTTTTTAAAGCCAATCAGAAACGGATAGATATGTAAATGAATAATTATAATAATTATATGTCCTAATATTTCCAAGTTCTTACTCTTGCATAAAGGAACTGTTCTAGTTAGGTTGTATACATTTTAATCATTTACTTTTTTATGCGCTAATCATCTGCAAATCATTCTTGTAATTGATATTTGGCCGGTACGTTGAGAAGACGTATTAACAATTTTAGTCCCACAAGTCATCCCAGAAGATGAAATAAATTGCCGAGTATTTGTTAGGCTATGCCAAAATAACGGTTAAATTAAGTTTTATCATTTAACGTCACCTGCATCCATAGAACACATACAGTGTGCATATTAAAAGGAAACGAGATAAAAGTTTTTTTCCTACATCGAGATAGTTCATTCTGTTTTATGATCCACAGACGCAGTACAGTGTATTTAAGGCCACGAGATAAATATCTTCAGTTTTTCTTACACCGAGAGATACTTCAAGTCCTGGACACATCAAGAAAAAAAGAAAAAGCAAGTATTTCATACAAAAAAATGATGAACGTATCAACTGGCACGAGCGCAAATAGTACGTTAGTAGTACGTTCCTCATACACGCCAAATTCAGTTCTTTCACGAGTAGAAGGAATAACAGTGTCTTTTTTTTTCTTGTTGGAAGCTGTCCTGATTGTCACAGGAAACTTTCTCACAATTGGTCTCTTTGCAACAGAGCGAAAACTTCGAAAGAAGAGTCTTTTTCTGGTAGTAAACATGGCTTTCGCAGATTTGATTTCAGGAGCTGTTTCCTTGCCTTTGTATGTGTACTTATACATCGGTCCCACCTATCGGCTATGGAAATGGCATACATCATACATAACGTTGCGTATCGGTTGGGACATCACTGATGCCATCTTCTCACAGGCATCATTAATCTCTGCTGTTTTTATAGCCTTTGAACGATTTTACGGCATTTACTGGCCGCTAAAACACCGAACTTTGTCACCCAAAGCGTACTACATTACAATTGTCATCGTCTGGACGCTGGCCTTGCTGGTTTCGGCGGTGTTCAACCCTGTCAAGTACTTGATTTCAGAAAAAGCAGCTACGTATGCTTGGATGTCATTCCCTTTGCTGTTTCTATTTATTGTTTGTGCTTGTAACATTGGTATTTGTAGAACTTTCCACAAGAGAAAAGTTTCTTCACAACAGGGAAACAGAGCATCTCAAACCCAACGCTTGACCATAACCTTGTTGCTCGTGTCCACCATTTCTCTACTGTCATGGCTTCCTCTAGTAACTGCAAACTACATATTCTATGTTCAAAACATTAATACATGTAAATGGCATTTGATTTATGATATCATAAATATTCTCAACTTTTCTAACTGTTTTGTTAACTCGGTTTTGTACTCATTAAGAATACCTGAGTTCAGACAAGCACTAGCTTTATGCCTCACAAGATGCCAAAAAGTAATAAACAGACCGGGTGGACACGAAGAAAGAGATAACCGAAGCTTTGATTTGACTCCACTACCAAACAACTCGAGCCCTCTGCAGCAGGATTTTGAACTGAAACCTGTAGTCACTAAAGTGTGATCTGCCATATTGGATGCCTTAATTAAAGCGAACTGTATGCTGTAACAATGTTGAACACTAAAGTTTTGTAGAACCTGGCGTTTATTAGTATTAAATCAAGTTTCAAATTTAAAATCTCGACGTTTTTTTTTTCCTCTCTATTTTATTACACTCGCTTCGTAACTGCAGTTCGGCCTAAGCTGAAAAATAATGCAGAAAATGTCACAAGGAGACAAATTCCATTGTAAATTAGCTTGGTGCATCACTAAATAACGTTTTACTCGTATTCAAGTAAATTTCTTTAAGACGTTTGCCTGCAAGATTCATAAGTTAATATGTTAATATGAAACATGGCCGCGATTGTGGGAATTGTTCCCAAGGCAACACTTAACTTTCGGGAATAGCTTTTGATGTTTAGGCTCCCGTTCTCCTCTCTTGCGATAGATAAGTTTCCTACGCCACTTTTGGTGGTCTTGAACCTCTTACTGTGACCTCCGCTCTGTATACTTCTTCAGCTTTCCTTTCGGAGGCCCGTCTGTTCTGTGTATCTTGTTGGCACATTAACCAACAAGTTATTATGACATAACTCCACCGCTCTCTCCTCAAACGCACGCGCCACCGCCATCACTGAGTCGCCATTTCTGTATAAATCCTCCTCTGTCGATCTTGAGCGCTGACCTGTGCCTTCCTTCTTTTTTGGTAAGTATTAAGGATGCTACTAATATTAGTTGCCTCCTGATGTGGTCATGGTAATAACACACATGCGTATTTGAGTCGGTTTATTACGAAACTGGATTTACAGAACAGTAGTCAAAGGAATACTGGTTACTTTGCTGCCCTTTACCATGACTGAACTCATTCATATTACATGGTCGTCGCCAAGAAATGGTCAAGCAGGTCAAGTTGGCGTATCGTTAAATCCACATTCGTTAATTTTGAAGGAGATAATTTGCATTTCCATGCGTTCATGCGAAGCATTTTCAATGAGAGAAAAAATAATATCAAGATTTTTTACTAAGACCATTGTTTAGGTTTTGAAAACGATTAAAATCTACAGTGCTTAGGGAAATTGTTGAATGCATTTCACGATTTTGCCGCAAATTCAGTAAGGAAATATTTTTCTACCTACTGCACCGACAGGCCAAAGTCTGTCGCTCTCTTGGTATTTTTTGCCTTTTGTCTTTAAAAGGCGTCTTACAAAACTGTCTCGAAACAGAAAGGCATATTAACAAATTACTTCAAGTCCTGGCCACATATCACTTCGCAATTCTTGTTCAAGAAGCATAAAATTATTGTTTCATACAAAAAAAATGAGGAACCTATCACCTGGCACGAGCGCAAATCGAGTAATAAGTTTTCCTCATACACGCTGTATTCTGTATTCGCTCTGCCTTCCTGTCCCTCGTTTTAGCCAACTGTCTGTAGACCTGACGTCATTTTTGAGGATATCGGAAAATATCTTTCAAATTTGATCAAAGTCTGTTGGTTATGAAAAGTTATAAGGAAGATTTAAGCCAATTAGAAACGGATATATATGTGAATAAATAACTATTATAAATATCTGTCCTAGTATTTCCAAGTTCTTACTCTTGCATAAAGGGACAGTTCTAGTTTCGTTGTATACATTTTAATCATTTACTTTTTTATGCAAGTCATCTGCAAAAATGCCCTCTTGTAATTGATATTTGGCCGATACGTTGGCAAGGCGTATTAACAAATTTAGTTCAGCAAGTCGTCCCAAAAAATGAAATAAATTGCCGAGTATTCGTTAGGCTAAAAAGCCAAAATAACCGTTAACTTGGTTTCATCGATTAACTTCACCTGCATCCGCAGAACGCATACAGTGTGTATAATAAAAGGAGACGAGATACGTATTTTTTTGAGCCAATCAGAAACGGATAGATATGTAAATGAATAATTATTATATTTATATGTCCTAATATTTCCAAGTTCTTACTCTTGCATAAAGGAACTGTTCTAGGTAGGTTGTATAAATTTCAATCATTTACTTTTTTATGCCGCTAATCATCTGCAAATCCCTCTTGAAATTGATATTTGGCCGGTACGTTGAGAAGACGTATTAACAAATTTAGTCCAACAAGTCATCCAAAAAGCTGAAATAAATTGCCGAATATTTGTTAGGCTATGCCAAAATAACGGTTAAATTATTACGTTTTATCATTTAACGTCACCTGCATCCACAGAACACATACAGTGTGTATATTAAAAGGAAACGAGATAAAGGTTTTTTTCCTACATCGAGATAGTTCATTCTGTTTTATGATCCACAGACGCAGTACAGTGTATTTAAGGCCACGAGATAAATATCTTCAGTTTTTCCTACAGCGAGAGATACTTCAAGTCCTGGACACATCAAGAAGAAAAAAAAAGCAAGTATTTCATACAAAAAATAATGAACGTATCAACTAGCACGAGCGCAAATAATACGTCTGCCTCATACACGCCATATTCAGTGCCTTCACGGGTAGAAGGAATAACAGTGTCTGTCTTTTTCTTGTTGGAAGCGTTTCTGATTGTCGCGGGAAATTTTGTCACAATTGGTCTCTTTGCAAAAGAGAAAAAACTTCGAAAGAAGAGCCTTTTACTGATTGTAAACATGGCTTTCGCGGATTTGATTTCAGGAGCTGTTTGCTTGCCTTTGTATGTTTACTTAGTTATCGGGCCCATGTATCGGCTATGGAAATGGGATACATCATACAAAACGTTGCGTATCGGTTGGGCCGTTGTTGATACCACCTTCGCGCAGGCATCATTAATCTCAGCTGTTTGTATAGCCTGTGAACGGTTTCACGCCATTTTTCGGCCGCTGAAACACCGAACTCTATCACTCAAAGCGTACTTCATTGTAATTGTTATCATCTGGACGCTGGCTATGCTTGTTTCCGCGGTGTGCAATACAGCAAATTACTTAATTTCAAACATAGCAGCTACTTATGCTTGCATGTCATTCCCTTTGCTGTCTCTATTTATTGTTTGTCTTTGTAACATTGGTATTTACAGAACCTTTCACAAGAGGAAAGTTTCTCCACAGCAGGGAAACAGAGCATCTCAAACCCAACACTTGACCGTAACCTTGTTGCTCGTGTCCACCGCCTCTTTACTGTCATGGCTTCCTCTAGTGACTGCAAACTACATATTTTATGTTAAAAACATTATCATACCTAAAAGAGATTTGATTTATAATATCATAAATATTCTCAACTATTCAAACTGTTTTGTAAACTCGGTTGTTTACTCCTTAAGGATACCTGAGTTCAGACAATCATTGGTTTTGTGCTTCACCAGACGCCAAACAGTAATGAACAGGGGCCATCATGAAGGAAGAGATAACAGGGGGTTTGCTTTAACGCCGGGGATAGAGCCATCAGCAATATCAAGGAACTCGAGGTATCTACAGCACGATTTTGAACTGGAGTCTGTGGACACTAAACTGTGATCACCCACGTTATCATGCACATCTGACTGCATGCTGTAAAAATGTTAAACACTAAATTTAAGTAGAGCCTGGCGTTTTAAATTTCAAATTTTGAATCTATTGATGCTTTTTTTCCTTCTCTGTTTTGATAGACTCACTTAGTAACTTCGGTTCTTTAACTGAACCATAATGTAGTAAAAGTCATTTGTACATAACGTCAAGAATCATTAAGTCCTTATTCCTCTAGAAGTCAAATTCCACAGTAAATTAGCTTCCTCTGTCTGGTGCAGAAATTCATGTAAAGTTCTAAAGAAGTTCAACGAAAAGATTCGTGATTTACTTTATTTTTCCCCCCCTTTTTTCTTCTTCTTTTTTTTCCCTTCGATACATACCTTGTAGCATTTTTGTCAATATTCTATCTTGGTTCAGCTATTAAACTTATAGTTTACATAAAAAAAAACTAAGACAAGTTTATGTTGTCCATGAGGTTAATTTGCGTTTTCTTTCCTCTTTTTTTCTGTAACAAACTAAGACCAATATTTTGCAGTGTAAGGAACACCCGTACACGCAAAGCTCACGAAGTAAAGATAGTATGGGAAGATGATTTTTCAGTCATTGACCCAGCCCTCTATGCAAAAAAAACTCCGAGAACTCCCGATAGGAGACGAACCTATGGCATTCTGATTACTAGTCCAGATGCTCTACCACTAAGCTACAGGATATTCTTCGAAGCTAGAGACACTAAACTAGGTTTAAGTGACAAACATCCTGCAATATTGCTGCAAGGAAGACAGTCCGAGAAAATTTTTTAAAGGTCTCTCTGGTTTGTTACACAACAACTATTCATCTAATGGGATCGAGCTTAACTTTTCATGATAAACAATTTTAGGTAAACTCGTCATACATTTACCAAGACACTTTTAATTTTCTTCGGTTTCATCTATCCACTCCAGCAATATAAATTAATTTCTTTAATTGACCGAAGCGCAAAAAGTGTCCATTATCGTTAAGCTTAGATATTGTTGTTATTACGCGCTGAACATTAATTTTCAAATGCATGCGAAAAAATTAGAATGTGTATATTTAAATGGTAACGAATGAAAGCAGGAAATAATTACACTTGCCTTTTGTCAAAAGTCTCATAATTTCTCGAACCTTTTGTGAGACTTTAAACGTTTTTTTTCTTAATTTGCCGATTATACCACGTATTAATATCATGGGTTATAATTGCGCTCACAATCGTGTGGGTTTATTTATTTTTCATCAATTGCATATTGCCATTTTATCATCAAGAAAAGGATCGGACACGCGATTAAAACCTGGCTTCAAAGACATAAACGTTCAAACCGATTACTCCATCGTCTTAGTTCAAAATAAATTGGCGAATTTTTGCAGTCTCAATAATCAGTATAGTTGAGTTTGATCGTCCGGGTGAGCGTAGTCCTGAATAGGACTGTTGTTGTTGACAGTGACTGACGTTTCGACAGAGTCGAAGTGAGTTGAATCACGTCAGTTGATGGTATTATACTCTGGTTATCGCCCTGATTGGTCAATTATGTCGCGATGATGTTGCTAGTCTGTCAGTTAAGCCGTGATGTTATTTGCTATGAAGACTCGTAATGTAATTGGTGCTTTATGTTGAACACCTGTACTTACAGTGTATGTGTGATCAACAAAACATAATTAATTCACGGGATAAATATATCTTAAGTTTCTTTGACGCATCCAGTTACCTTTCAGAAGCTCTGCGACCTACTGTACTCCAGTCACTTAAGAAAGCCGATTTCTTGACATTACAACCTCTCCCTTAAAATGAAGAATGTATCAGCTGCTACGAGCTCAAATAACATGTCTTCGTCATACCATTCACGAGTAGAGGGTATAGTGCTGTGCAGCGTTTTCCTCCTGGAAGCTGTCTTAATTTCCGTGGAGAACTTGCTCACATTTGTAGTCTTCACATCAGAGAAAACGCTTCGCAAGAAAAGTCATTTACTTGTAATAAACATGGCCTTTGCCGATACTATTTTAGGGGCTGTCGCTATGCCTTTGTATGTTTTCTTATGGATTGGGCCCACTTTTTGGTTATGGAATTATAAAGAGCGAGAAACTGTCGTTGGTTATCTCTTGGAGTCTTGTTGATGCCACCTTCTCGCAGGGCTCGTTAATCTCAGCAGCCCTATAGCCTTTGAACGATGTTACACCATATACTGGCCGCTGAAACACAGAACTATGTCATTTAAAGCATACTACATTATAATTTTCATCATCTGGACGCTCGCTTTGCTTCTTTCCTAGGTGTTTAACATGGCAAACTTCTTAATCTCATCTAAAGCAGCTGCTTTTTGTTGGATGTCATTCTCTTTGCCGTCTCTATTCATTGTTTGCGCTTGTAGCATAGGTATTTGGAGAAAGTTTCAACTGAGGAACATTTCTTCACAGCAACAAAACAGAGCCTTCTTAAACAAACGCTTGACGTTAACTTTGCTTCTCGTGTCCACCATTTCTCTACTGTCATGGCTTCCCGTAGTCATCGCGAACTGTCTTATTTATATCCTAAAGATTAATATACCTAAAGTTTATTTGTTTTATTATATCATAGTTCTTCTCAACTTTTCCAACAGTCTCGTTAACCCGGTTGTTTCAAAGTTACTCATTAAGAATTCCCGAATTCAGACAAGCGCTGGGTTTTTGCATAATAAGACTTCGGAAGCTGATAAACAGAGACGAAAGGAATAAAGGAAGAGATAACAGGGGGCTTGCCCCAACTCCGGCAATACGAACATCAACACAGCCAAATGACCAAAATTGTCTTCAGAAGGAGTTTGAACTAGAAACTATTGTGACTAAACTGTAATCAGCTGTGTTGGTCTAATTATTGCAACTACGTTGTGATGTAAAAATTAACTAAAAATTAAAGTGTAGCGTAGCCAGGCAGTTAAATAAATGAATGCATGGATACATGAATGAATAAATGAATGAAAGAATGCACAGACGAACGAACGAACGGCATGACATACATGGTAGTGAAACCTAATTGGTTTAGTTTGTTTGTTTTGAAACGGAAGATAAAAAAAAGCGGTTTGATAAAAAACAGTTATGATATTTAGTAAACATTTTTAGCCTGGATACAAGGAATAAAAACTTTAGAGTAATATTAAAATACATTTGGGCTACTTTTCATGATATTTATGGTCAGTATCGGGAATCAGGAGAGTTTGTCTAAAACAAATCTTATTAGAATCTCGTCAAATTTGTTGAAACACTTTTTTACGTTATGCCCTTTATAATGTTGATACCACCATAATATGGCTCTTGGTTGGCTTAAAAAAGAAAAGAAAAAAAAACAAACAAAAAAACAAAAAACGGTTCTCAAAACAGAAGACGGAGAGAACTAGATAAGCTGGTTGAGGAAGCATGTGTTTGCACGAAATTTTGCGAGTATTAAAAAGGTGAATGGGGTTAACCGACTAGTGACAAAGGCAACCGACAAAACGAGTAAAAAATTATCGACTACCGACAGGAAAAATATTAACCGACTAACGACACGGGCTGAGATTATCAATAAATGTTTTAAGAAAAAAGAGCATTTTGTATTTTGTTTTTTGTTTCATCAGATGGTCTAAGGGAAACAATTTCCTCTTTTGTTGTTACAGGTAAATTGCTACAACCAATATCAAAATCACAGAAGTCGCACCTTAGAGCTGCTACAGGCTTTATAAATGTTATTGAAAAGAAAAAGGTGAAAAAACTAAACTTTTCTTGTTTTGGTCCGAGAAATGCTTAGATTAATCCTCCTCTTTTTTTTTACGTCATTGCCTGATTTCATACCGTGGGAGCCTAGCACTAGTTATCGGTTTTGCCGGACGGAAGTGCACTTCAGTTTGATGGCGTAGAGATGGCGACTTACACGAAAACTTGGCATTGGAATTGTGCCAGTTCTTTGTGTACGGATAATTACAGAACTAAAGGAATAACGTACTACACTTTGCCAAGCGATCCTGGGCTTCAAAAAGGATATAGGAAAGTTCTTATGAACGAAAATATTAACTGGAGAAAACATGTTATATGCAGCGCTCACTGGAGCTCGGGGAAACGAGAGAACAAGAATCAATTGCCAGACATAATTAGTACAAAAGAATATGCTGCTAATCTGGAAAAAGAGTACTCCCAAAAACCATCTAGGGAATTGAAAAGGAAAATTGACTGTACAAAAACGGTTCGTACTTCGTCGAATGCCAATACCGTGAGGAGTACTCCAAGGAAACCCCCGAAAGACAGGAGTGAAACTCCCGTACCGCGTGTTAAAAAGCGACGGGTTTCAGCTGCGAACGTAGAAAAAGAAAATCAGAAGCTTAAAATTCAAGTGGAAAGTTTGAGAACTTAATTGAAAAAAGGCTTTGAATGAAGATTTACAGCAACAGCTGTCAAAGACTCAAACAGAACTTGAAAAAAATGCTGCGAACAACAGTCAGCAACTCAATGCAATGAAGAAAGCCCTCGAAGGCCAAACTTTTAGTTATGAAGCACTCATGAGATACCCAGATAGAATTTACTATATGACAGGATTATCACTTTCCGAATTAGATTGTCTATATGAATGTTTGGAGCCTTTCCTGCACACAATTGTTTATCCTGATTGTAACAATGACGACTCGTCCCATCTTAGAAAGCTGAACACAAAGACAGAACTTATCAGTTTCTTGACAATTTGTAGACAAGCATTGGACCTTGGTGTTATTGCATGGATGACTGGTTCAAGTATATCAACTATGAGTAGAATTTTTGTAGGATGGTGTGTATTCCTGAGTACCATTTTTGAGTCTATTGACCTGACCCCATTACCTGGATTTTTGAATGACTATTCGCCAAAATGTTTTATGGAGTCAGGATACTGCTCTCATAGGGGATGCAACTGAAATTTGGATCTCCCAATCAGAGAACTTTGATATTAATAATATTACATTCTCGAACTACAAGAATCACATTACAGGGAAGATATGTTTGTGGACCCTTCCTCCTGGTTTTTTACTCAAATGTACCGATGCATTTCCTGGCAGCATTAGTGATGCTGACATAACAGAGCAATCATGTGTGCTAGATACAGTCACAAAAGGGAAGACAGTTATGACTGACAAGGGTTTTAATATCACAGATATTTGTCATGAGAAAGGCCTGTTACACAATAGACCTCCAATGAAATTTTCTCATCAATTTGATGAGACTGAGGTAGTAAAGAACTTTGACATTGCAACATTGAGGATCTACATTGAAAACTACATAGGAAGCATCAGAGATTGGCAAATTCTACGCAAAACTTGGCCAAGCTCAAGAATTAATTTACTTGGTTGCTGTTTCTAAATATTTGCACATATTGTTAATATGTTAAAAAAACCAGTTGGAACAAATTAAAAAAAAAACAACTAAACTAGTTCCAAAAAACTCTGTTGATATTACATGACTATGTTTTAACAAAGACTACCTTCTTTATATGCTTTGTCATTTAGTTTACCCACTTACGGAATTAACGTAATGTGTCAAAGCTAGGAACAGTATTTAATAAGTTCTTTCCAAGTTCAGAGAGATGGTTATTCTCTTTATAATCCCACTTACTTACAATTTTGTGATGTAAAATATGCTCAGCTATGTCTTTTAAGACATCTATAAGCAGGTCATTTCTGGGTATGAAAAATATATTTGATCTTTTCTTTTCAGGGAGATAAGATTGCAAAAATACAAGATTTGCTCCTGCACAAGATACCTGAAAATTTGCTTGAATAATATGTGAGCCTGTGATTTTGTCTAATGGGGCTTCAGAGTTTTCTGCTCTTGTCTTGACCTCAACGAGAAATGCTTCTGAAATACCACCAGGACTTGCTCCATAGTTTGTGTCTGATGGATGTCTGAAAAACCCACAACTTGAGACTGGGACACCTGTAGGAAAAAATAGAAATCAATACATGATTACTCAAACCGGCTTACATTAATTTTTGTGCTTACATTTATGTTCACGCAATTTTATTCCTATTTGATTATGTTATGTACATGATTAACTGCATGATATGCTGGTAATATACTTATTTGCTAAATTTCAGAGTATTGTGTTACTATTAATATTTTCGAATAAAAGTGACTTACCAGAGAGTTTCTGAAAGTGCTCTAAAGCTTCTTTTTGATAGTAGTTTCCTCTTTGATAGTTTCTGTATTGCTTTGGTTTACATTTACTTTCATCTATCTTGTTTAGAATATAAAACCATGATGAATCAAACTCTTTGTTTCCATGAAAACCCAGGAGTGATGGTAGTTTACTTGCTGTTATTATCCCCGTCCTCAGGTTAAGCCAATCAGAAGTGCCTTGTTAAACATCAATGTATCTTGCGCTTGTAGTTAGTCTGACTTCTTTAAGCTGAGGGACCTTAACAGTTATAATCTCATCTTTAGAGTTTGTAAGCAATTCTAACAACTCTTGAGTTTTATCTGCACAAAATATTTGCTCTTGACATAATGAAGTAGGCTGTCCCACTGGGCAATCATCTTGGTTGAAGCTGTTAGAATTGGCTATCAATGAAGAGTGCCATTTATCCTCACACTCAGAAGGTGGAGTTTTGTTCCAGGTTTGCTGGAGGATTTAGCTTTGTGTAGTCATGTTCATTTTGTATAACTCTGTTCAGATAAGCATTTTTGTAAGACAAATGGTGATACAATCCTGTGTGTCTTATTTTAAATTTCTCTAGAGTTTTAAGAAAATGATTTGATAAATTGATTCTGCATTTAGACAGCCCATCTACTTCTTGAGAGCTCATGGAGGAAATATCTCGTCTCAGCCAGTCACTGTTTTCATCACTTACATCTCTAACTACAACTTTCTTCTTTGTTCTTTGATTTACATGTCTTGCTGAGTTGGCATTTCTAAAATATTTGAGTCGGATATGAGCAGCAGCCTTCAAGATAGCTTTTACCTCTTTCCCTTTCTTTAAATTTGTCGATGCCACTTTTGGAGCTTCTCTGTACAGGTCAAAGACAAAAACAGCTTTTTATAGGTTGTGAAGTGTTCTAACTGTAGCAGTATAACGATAACATGACAACAGAGACCACACTTTCCTACAGCACATTCGCAAAAACCTTTCTTGGGAACATTGTCAATGAACAAGACAGTTGCAGTTCGTGTAACTTCAGAAGAAAAGCTTTTCAATATGCTTGACTTGACAATTAATTGGTATACCATTTTTGAAAACCTTGATAGTTTTCATTCGTCTAGAAGAAAACATTCGATGAGCTTTGCGAAATTGTCCTATCATTCCCTGTCGGTTATTAGACTGATATGTCTTGATAACGTCTTTTGAAATCTTGGGAAAGAGAGAAGTATTGCATTTCCATCCAGCTGTTGGTGGTTGGATCTCCTGTCTCGATAGGACTGTTGTAAAGCTGTACTTCACAGAGATGTTCTTCACTCTGTTGTCGAGCAAAACCGGGTCATCTTTAAATGGTAGCAATCTTTGTAACAATTCACTTTTAGTCCCGGAAGCGTTAAGTTTAAGACTATTACAAAGTTCTCCCAAGTTTTTTGTGTTGAGTGATTCAAGGCAATCATCATTTATGACTTTTTTTACTGCTGCAAAAGCCATTTTGGGCGAGTCTTCTTTCACATTTCCCGCAATCTTTTTTCACTTCCGTCCGCCGAAAACTGATTACTAGTGCAGGGCTCCCACGGTATGAAATCAGGCAATGCTCTTTATAATGTTGACTCCTGAACCATAATATGGCTCTCGGTTGACTTAACGCTCGGAAGTACACGCAAATTCATACCCCCACCGTGGAAGGAGCCCCCCACCGGAGTTTTTGATATGTTACAGTATTTTGAAACGATTTTGCCTTTAGTGGAAAGCCTTTGATCTTCTTAAGCGGACACCGTATTAAGCGGACACCCTCTATTAAGCGCGGGACAGTAGCCGAATTCCCCGAATTTTTTTCCCTTATTTACTTTAAATGAAACCTTTATTAAGGGGACACCTCTATTAAGCGGACGCGGACACCTAAAAAGTACCTAAAAAGGGCCATTTCTATTGTTGCCAACCTGTATTAAACGGACACTTGTAATTATTTTCCACCACCCAACAGTGCCAGACACCGAAAATGTGAAAGATTGCCTCGAATTGCCACCCACAAATTTTTCGATTTTTACATTAAAAAACGTGACTTGACGAAACTTATTTGATTAGTTTCACAGTACAGGATTGTTTTCTACTTCATTTTGTTTGTATAGAGCTTGTTTCACTCATCTGATTTCTTCAAATTTGAGTTGCAATCCGGCTATGTTTATGGTACTATGATCAACTGGTTCACTTTGATAAAGAAATTAATGCAAACGTCTATCGTCATAGTCTCTGGGAGTATTATAAACGCTTCCACTGTTCATTTGAATGGCATTTGACACCTCATATGACGTTATATATCGAAACCTGTATTAGGCGGACACCCTGTATTAAGCGGACACTACAGCATTCCCCGAGGGTGTCCGCTTAATACAGGTTTCACTGTATCATCTGGATTCCTGTACGTCAGCAAGTTTTCGATTCAACAAAGAATTCAATAACAAATTAGTCGCATTTCATTAGTCTGAAATGGATAACCATCTTCAATCAAATTGTCCGTGAAAATTGACGGATGAAGTCAGGCAGATTGTTCATTCAAAATTAAAACTATTCTGACGCGAATCATCAAACGGATAACCCGTCTCACACAAATAATCCGTCTCAGTGGTGTGAAAACGGCCATTTCTGTTATAATGAATGTCGCGCCCCGGCCTTGAGTTGGGCGTTCAAGTGTCTTCTTTTGCTTTTTCACAAAGATTATTTTTAAATTGACTATTGACATTTCTATGTGTATTTGATCTATCAAATGTTAGAATTTTTCAAAAGAATAGCTTATTTCATCCCGTGATGATTCGAAGACCTTTATTTTGCTTTAAAGATGCCAAAAATACTGGTTAATTAATATTTAACTCTTTGAAACAAAAGAAATTGATTTTTAACTTTTTTGTTAACCGTAACTGAAAAAAAAAAATTAACCGTTACCCGCAAAAGAGCCAAAATTGCCGATAATCGTGAAAGCCACCACCCCATTGAGACCCTCTAAAATGAGTACGCACATCAAGGATTGCGTCTCTTTCGAATCTTGCGCCTTTGTAGATGTAGGTGTCCAGGAATGTTGTTTCCTTATCGGAAATTTCAGCCGTAAATTTGATCATAGGGTGATGATTGTTCGCTAGCTTGCTCAATGAACTGTTCTATTCTGTGTCTGTTTATAGTCCAGAGCGAGAATATGTCGTCTATATATATGATTAAGGTTTCCAAACAAGCAGTTTTAGCACGCTTTGGCTTTCGGTCTCTACCTTGTTCATGAATATATTAGAAAAGGTGACTGCCATTTTCGTGTCCATGGCTTTACCATGTGTTTGAAGGTAGTTTTTTCCATTAAACTGGAATACGGTTTCTTGAAGAATTAGCCTTACCGCTTATTCTAGTAGTTGTGTAGGGATAGGAGGTTCGTTTATGTAGAATGTTTCGTATGTTCTGCATACCGTGTGACGAGTGACGTAGCATGCCGACTTGGAAACGTATAAAAATATAAAACGATTGAATTCGCAACCGCTCGTATCTCACAGAAGCCTCGTCCCGCACTAAGCTGAGCGTATAGCCTTCACTGATCAATAAGTCTCGCTTCGGCATTCAGTACAGTATTCAGTCAGAAGCACTTTGCACTGTTATTAAATACAGGTATTTTCAAGTCACAATACATCTCCCGCTAGCCTCCCACGCAGGCGTTTTTAGGGGAGCTCGTGTCACATCCCTCGTGGGTAGGGATGAAAGACGAGCTCCCCTAAAAACGCCTGTGTTGGAGGCTAATCTCCCGCGAGACTCGGTCAAATTTTGCGTTATATTCAAAGACTTTGTATTAGCAACATGGGGTTCCGACATGAAAATTGTTTTAAAATTCGCAAGGAAAGTTTTTTACTCGTCCGAAAAATCTGGAAATCTTGCGACCAAAGCTCAAAAAGACTATAAAAAAACTACCCTCGACAAGCTACCTAGACTATTTTTTCGTGAGATCGTTCAGATGTACCGCGTCTTACCGTCACGGGTATCTTGATTTTCAAATGTACCAAGGGGGCAGGCCGAGGGGATTACAGCTCGGGGGGAGCAGGGGCGAGAAAAATAAAGGGACTGTAATAACATCACTGCAGCTCGCGTTCACGGAGTGCGTTGTACCAGCAACGCAGGCATTTGATTGGTCATTAGACAATAGATGTTAATTTGCGTTGACAACGGGTTTAATCTAAGTTGCCGACCAGGCGGTGTGCG